TGTGAATACATTGAAGGAGGTCAAAGTATCAACAGTAACAGGGGTTTGGAAGAAGTTGATTCCAATCCTCATGGATGACTTTGAGAGGTTAAAGACTTCAGTGGAGGAAGTAACTGTAGATGTGGTGGAAATAGCAAGAGAACTAGAATTTAATGTGGAGCCTGAGGATATGACTGAATTGTTGCAATCTCATGATCAAATTCAAATGGATGAGGAGTTACTTCATATGGATGAGCAAAGAAAGTAGATTCTTGAGATGGATGAAGGTTTGTCCAAAGAATTTAGAATATTACATAAACTTAGTTGATAAAGCAGCAGCAGGGTTTGAGAAGATTGACTCTAATTCTGAAAGAAATTCTACTGTGAGTAAAATGCTATCAAACGGCATTGCATGCTACAAAGAAAGTGTCCATGAAAGGAAAAGTTAATACACATGGCAAACTTTATTGATGTCTTATTTTAAGAAATCACCACAGCTAACCCACTGTTCAACAATCAGCACCCTGATCATTCAGCAGCCATCAACATCAAGGCAAGACCCTCTACTAGCAAAAGATTGCAAGTAGCTCACTGAAAGCTCAGATGATGGTTAGCATTTTTTAGCAGTAAGGTATTTTTAATTAAGGTATGTATATATTATTTTAGATATAATGCTGTTGCACATTTAATGGACTATAGTATAAACATGACTTTTATATGTACTGGGAAACCAAAAATTTCATTTGACTTGCTTTATTGTAATGTTCACTTTACCATGGTGGTCTGGAACTAAAACCACAGTGTCTCCAAGGTAAGCCTATATGTCATCTCTAATAGTCTGATATGGATAGAGGAAAGTTTCATAAGGGATTCTAGCATTTTTGTGTGTTTAAAACTCATGAGTAGCACACATTAAGTAAGAAGTATGGCTGATTTAAAAAAAAAAACAAAGATTGAATTATAATAAATACAACATAAACATAAATACAAATATACATACAAGAAGGCAGACAAGCAAGGTAGTTAGTATTTGAAGTCAGAATAATATGCATCATGTTTTAGAATTCCTCTGAATTTGTTTCATGGACATACCACATATTTAAAATAATTTTGTGGGGGCACCTTGATAGCTCACGTAGTTGAGCATCTGACTCTTGATTTCAGCTCAGGTCATGAACCCAGGGTCATGGGGTTGAGCCCTGTGTAGGGCTCCACGCTGAGCATGGAGCCTGCTTGAGATTCTCTCTCTCTCTTTTTCTCTCACTCTCTCTGCTCCTCTGCCCCACTTGTGCTCTCTCTCTCAGTCTCTCTCTGTCTAAATAAATAAATAAATAAATAAATAAATAAATAAATAACATTTTGTGATTAGGAGTTTAATTTTAGTGACTAAAGGTTAAAATTGCATTAAAAAGTGTAGAAATATCTGAAAAATATGACTACCTATTGAGTTGTTTGGGTCAGGCTGAGTAACAAAGGAAACATGATCTAAGTAGCTGCATATTAGATATAAATCTCATCTTTATTAACAGCAAGCTTAAAAGTAAAGTGGGTATTTAGAGTCTACTGGTATCTTAATGCTAGAATCTTTGGTTCATCAATTCAGATGAAAAAACTACTTATTAAATATCTTCTATGTTCAAGACACTACACTATGGGATACATAAAGAAATCTTTAAAAATATTTCATGTCTTTGAGTAATGTACTATTTGATTTAAAATTGCAGCAATTTGGTGTCAGTTGAGTATATCTCCTTTGCTTTTATTAAACTTTCAGAATAAAAGCTGGATTTTATTTTTTTAAGTTTATTTATTTGTTTTGAGAGAGAGAGGGATAGAGAGCAAGTGGGATAGGAGCAGAGAGAGAGAGAGAGAGAGAGAGAGAATTCCAAGCAGGCTCCATATTGCCAGTGCAAAGCCTGATGCGGGGCTTGAACTGACCAACCTGATCATGACCTGAGTCAAGATTATGAGTCAGATGCTTAACCAAATGAGCCATCCAGGTGCCCCTAAAAACTGGATTTTAAAATAGAATAGAATGTCTTTGCTTTAGCATCTACTGTGTCAATAGTTGAGATTGTGACAATCAAAAAATATTAAAGATAACTATTCTTGGAGATATTGTTCTACATATGGTAAAACTGACATATGAGTTTTTTATTAAAATAGAGGTACATTAAAAATTTTTAATATAGACACAAATCTTTGGAATACAGTAAAAGCATTACTAAGGGAAACTTATAGCAATATAGGCTTATTTTAAAAAATAAGAAAAATCTTAAATAAACAATCTAACTTTACACCTAAAGGAACTAGAATTAGAAGAACAAACAAAGCCCAAAGTTGGTAGAAGGAGGGAAATAATAAAGACCAAACCAGAAATAAATGAAATAGAGAGTACAAAACAATAGAAGAGATCAATGAGGGGCACCTGGCTGGCTCAATTGGTAGGGCATGTGCTTCTTGATCTAAGAGCCATGAGTTCAAGCCCCACATTGGGCATGGAGCCTACTTTAAAAAATGAAATAAAATAAATATCAATGAAATCAAGAGTTGGTTCTTTGAAAAGATAAACAAAATTGGTAAACTTTTAGCCAGACTCATCAAGAAAAAAAGAGGGAACATAAAAAAAAAGCAGAAGTGAACAAAAAGAAGTAACAACTGACCACAGATATACAAAGGTTAGAGTACCATGAAATGAATAAATTCCTAGAGATATACAATCTTCCAAGACTGAATCAGGAAAATAGAAAATATCTGAACTGACCAATTACTAGTAATAAAATTTAATCAGGTACCAAGAAACTCCCAACAAACAAAAGTCGAGGACCAGATGTATTCACAGATGAATTCTACCAAATATTTAAAGAAAAGTTAATGCCTATTCTCCTCAAACTATTCCAAAAAACACACACACACAAAACCCACAAACAACAAAGACAAAAACAAAGAGGGAAAGCTTCTAAACACAGTCTACAAGGCCAGCATTACCCCGATACCAAAACCAGACAAAAGCACTACAAAAAAGAAAACTATAGGCCAATATCTCTGGTGAACATAGATGCAAAAATCTGCAACAAAATATTAGCAAATCTCATTCAATAATACATTCATTACAAGGATTATTCACCATGATTAAGTGGGATTTTATGCAAGAACAGTTCAATATTCACAAATCAATCAATGTGATACATCACATCAACAAAATGAAGGATAAAAATATATGATTATCTCAATAGATGCAGAATAAGCATTTAACAAAATTCCACACCCATTTTTGATAAAAAACGCTCAACAAAATGGATGTAGAGGATAAAAAATCTCAACATAATAAGGGGCATATATGACCAACTGATAGCTAACACCATACTCACTGGTGAAAAACTGAGAGCTTTTCCTCTAAGATCAGAAATAAGACAAAGATGTCCATTCTTACCACTAATATTCAACATAGTACCAGAAATCCTGGCCACAGCAATCAGACAACAAAAAGAAATGAAAGGCATCCAAATTGGTAAGGAAGAAGTTAAACTGTCACTATTTGCAGATCACATGATACTATATATAGAAAACCCTAAAGATTCCATGAAAAAACTCTAAGAACAAACAAATTCAGTAAAGTTGCAGAGTACAAAATTAATACACAGAAATTGATGGTGTTTTGATACACTAATAATGAAGTAGCAGAAAGAGAAATTAAGAAAACAATTCTATTTACAATGGCACCAAAAAGAATAAAAGAGAGGAATAAACTTAACCAAGGAGATGAAAGACCTGTATTCTGAAAAGTATAAAATACTGCTGAAAGAAACTGAAGACTACACAAGCTATACTTTACATAAATGTTGAATTGTTGTGTTGTACACCTGAAATTCCAATAATATTGCATGTCAACTACACTTCAATTATAAAAATCCATATAAGTGAAATCATATGGTCTTTGACTTTCTCTATTTCTAGGCATTATTAGCATAATGCACTCTAGGTCTATTCATGTTGCAAATGGCCAGATCTCATTTTTTTTATGGCTGAGTAATATTTCATTATATATAACATATACCTAATATATATATATGTAATACATATTACATATATATGTATCACATTCTGTATCCATTCTTCTATCAATGGACACTTATGTTGCTTCCATGTCTTGACTATTATAAATAGTACTGCAATGAACATAAGGGTGAAGATAATCTTTTCGAGTTAGTGTTTTTTCATATTCTTTGGATAAATATCCAGAGTGGAATTGCTGGATCATGTATTTCTATTATTGATTTTTTGAGGAACCTCCATACTATTTTCCACAGTGGTCATGACATTTTACATCCCCACCAACAATGCACAAGTGTTCCTTTGCTTCCACATCCTTGACAACACTTTTTATTTGTTGTCTTTTTGGTGATAGCCTTTCTAATAAGGTTGAGGTGACATCTCATTATGCTATTGATTTGCATTTTCCTATTGATTAGTGATGTTGAGCGTATTTTCATGTGTCTGTTAGCCATCTGTATGTTTTTTTGTTTGTGTGTGTGTGTGCGCGTGCACGCGTGTGTGTGTGCGTGTGTGTGTGTTTTGAGAAATGTTTATTCAAGTCCTCTGCCCATTTTTTAAAAATTTTTTTAATGTTTATTTATTTCTGAGACAGAGAGAGACAGAGCATGAGTGGGGGAGGGGCAGTGAGAGAGGGAGACACAGAATCAGAAGCAGGCTCCAGGCTCTGAGCTGTCAGCACAGAGCCTGACACAGAGCTCAAACTCACAAACCGTGAGATCATGACCTGAGCTGAAGTCAGTTGCTCAACTGACTGAGCCACCCAGGCGCCCTCTATGCACGTTTTTTAATTGGATTGTTTGGGTTGTTTTTATTGAGCTGTGTGAGTTCTTTATATATTTTGGATAGATAACCCTTATCAGTTATATCTTTTGCAAATATCTTCTTCCATTCAGCAAATTGCCTTTTTGTTTTGTTGATGGTTTTCTTCACTGTGCAAAAGCTTTTCAGTTTGATGTGGTCCCATTTTCTTATTTTTGCATTTGTTGCTCTTGCCTAGGAGGCAGATCCAAAAATATATATTGTTAAGGCCACTACCCAAGTTCTTATTGCCTGTTTTCTTCAATTTTTTATGGTTTCTGGTCTGATATTTAAATCTTTAATGTATTTTAAGTTTATTTTTGTATATGGTATAAAAAAGTAGTCCAGTTTCATTATTTTGCATGCAGATGTTCAGTTTTCTCAGCACCATTTATTGAAGAGACTGTCTTTACCCCATTATATATTCTTGCTTCGTTTGTTGTAGATTAAATGACTATATAAGTGTCATTTTTTGGGACTATTATATTCCATTGATCTATGTGTCTATTTTTGCGCCAATACCATATTATCTTGATTACTACCACTTTATAGTATATCTTAAAATCTGGGATTGTGATACCTCCAGCTTTGTTTTTCTTTCTCAAGACTCTTTGGCTCTCTGGGGTCTTTTGTGGTACCCTACAACTTTTGGGATTATTTGCTCTAGTTCTGTGAAAAATGTTGTTGACATTTTACGATGGATTATATTAAATCTGTAGATTGCTTTGGTAGCATGGACATTTTAAAACATTAATTCTTCCAATCCATGAGCAAGGTATATCTTTCTACTTATTTGTGTCATCTTCAATTTCTTTTACCAATGTCTTACAGTTTTCAGAGTATAGGTTTTACACCTCTGTGATTAAATTTATTCTTCAGTGCTTTATTCTTTTTGGAAATGTTGTCTCAATTTCTATTTCTGATACTTTATTATTAGTACATAGAAATGCAACCATTTCTATATATTAATTTTGTACCTTGCAACTTAACTCAATTCATTTATTAGTTCTTAAGCTTTTTTGTGGAGTCCTTAGGGTGTTCCATATATAGTATCATGTCATCTACAAATAGTGACAGTTTAACTTCATCCTTACCAATTTAGATGCCTTTCATTTCTTTTTGTTGTCTGATTGCTGTGGCGAAGGCTTCCAGTACTATGTTGAATAAAAGTGCATATTAGTAGTGAGAATGCATGTACTCTCCAGTACTCTTTGCTCACAGTTATGTCCCAGGTCTGCCACTGGGGAGAAGCCAAGTCCACATTCAAGGGCTGATCCTATTACTACAAGGGAAAAAAATTTTTTTGCATCACAGTGCACTATTCCATACTAAAATTTCAGTCCAGTAGGTTTGGCTATACAAACCACCAAACCTATAAATATATCCAGACTCAAAAAGATAAAAAGTACATAAATTATAAAATACTTTACCAAATATTTATTGAATATCTACTAAATGTTCAACACCATGCCAGATGCTGGAAAATGACAAATTTATTTTTGTATCTAACTTCTACATTTGGTTTGATTTCTCTGCCAGAGGTATACATATATACCCATTTTGAGGAGAGGTAGATTCCTATAATGTTTTATTTAAATGGGTCAACTATCTCAACAACATTAGAGAATTTATTTAATCAAGTAGGCCAGGATTCTTTTTCTCCCATTATGGTATTGCAGAAGAGTTTACATTATCACAGCAATTAAAAAAAAAAAAAGTCTTAGGAATGTTAGCCCGCGTATTCTTAGTTGATTTACAGACCCTCATATTCCAGATAGTTTCTAAATCCATACTAAATGCTGCCTAACCTATATACATGACTTAAAGCAAATAGATGAGGTACTTAAAATTGTTTTCAAGTAGGCTAATTTAGTCATCACAGTAGGTAATAAGGAAACTGCATCAACTTCCTATTCCTCTATTCTTTCATGCCTGGCCTCAGGATAGACTCTCACCCAGTCCAAATTGTCTCCCCTTCAGGTTAGATATGACTGGTTACTGACATGGTGTTAATGGCTCCCTAGGACCATGGCTTGTTGGAAGTCATGCACAAAGTCCCCTCTGGGAAAAGGGACTGGAGGAGTAAGGTAGGGTCTCAGCACTAGTGTTTGCAGCTTTAGTTCTGATTTTACATAATGCTCCCTAGCCTATTCCTGTCTATCAGAAATGGGACTTGACCTACAGTTTCCAGTTTATTACATAAGAGGCAAGGGCCTTTGCACAGTGAAGACCCATTCATAGAACCAAATACCTAAATGGTTTATCTTGCTTAGGATTACAAAGTAAAGTAATATGTAGAAAATAAAATACTTTCATGGGCATAAAATGCTGACAATACAAAATGTTTTCTAATTCACTATATATTCTGATTTAAAAAATTACTAAAGTATGACTTTTTCCCAAGAGGAAATAATCATAAACATTTTTTAAGTAATTCCTCATTAAAGGCCTGATATCTCTGGGGCACCTAGGTGGCTCACTCAGTTAAGTCCAACTCTTGATTTTGGCTCAGGTCATGCTCTCATGGTTCATGAGATCGAGCCCTGCTTGGGATTCTCTATCCCTCTCTCACTCTGCTGCTCCCCCCCTCTCAAAATAAATAAACTGTAAAGTCTGACATCTCCTTCCATCTCCCCAAATGAGATGATTTCATAAGAACCTAAATCTGCGGGGCACCTGGGTGGTTCAGTTGGTTGGGCATCCGACTTTGGCTCAGGTCATGATCTCATGGTTTGTGAGTTCAGGCTCTGTGTCGGGTTCTGTATTGACAGAGCCTGCTTTGAATTCTGTGGGTGTCTCTCTCTCTGCCTCTCCCCACTCATGCTCTGTATCTCTCTCCTTCAGATATAAATGAACCTTAAAAACATTAAAAAAAAAGAACCTAAATCTCCAATTTATCACATTATGGATATTTGCTGGCATGTATTCTTAATAATATTATACTGTTTGCTCTTCTAATACATTCAAACCAAGGTTGTAGTACATGCCTGTATTATAGGTTTAATGTAGTCACCATGTAAACTATACCTTTAATAAACCAAGCTTTGTAATATTATGTTTTCATGTGTATATAATATTAAGACAAATCTAAATTTTTCATAATTATTTTCTAGGTAAAGATATCATATGACTTAATTCAGGATAGCTTTTGATTTTTAGGTAGAGCCATAAGAAAGTACCAACATCTAACCAATTATTTTTAAGTTTTTAAATTTATTTTGAGAGAGAGAGAAACAGAATGCACAAGTGGAGGAGAAGCAGAGAGAGAAGGAGAGACAGAGACAGAGATAGAATCCCAAGCAGGCTCTGCACAGTCAGTGCACAGCCTGATGTGGGGTTCAAATTCACAAACCATGAGATCATGACCTGAGCCAGATGCTTAACCGACTGAGCCACCCGGTGCCCCAACATCTGACCATTTTTTACTTAAAAAAATCCAGCAACTTCATTTGATTCCACCTAATTCCATGGTGGTTTCAAGACTAATGTATACAAACCAAATACTAGAAATAGAAAATAAAGGAATCAACTGTAATAATCTGGAACTGTCATAATTGATACATAAAATAGTCTTCCCACCTCCAAGATTATTGAATTTGTATTGTTTTCATACCTAAAATTTTAAACACTTTTAAGGATGGGGAAAGGCCTGACAGATGAGGATAAATATACAAACTGGGAAAGTCCACAATGACCATATTTTTGTTTCAAGAAACAACATTTTAAAAAATGGTTAGATAATACTGTTGAACTTTTTTTTAATGTCTATTTATTTTTGAGAGAGAGAGAGAGAGAGAGAGAGTAACTGGGGGAAGAGCAGAGAGAGAGGGAGACAGAGGATTTGAAGTGGGCTCTGTGCTGTCAGATGGGGGACTTGAAATCAAGAACTGTGAGATCATGACCTGAGCTGAAGTCGAACTCTTAGCCAACTGAGTCACCCAGTTGCCCCAATACTGTTAAACTTTGAAGGTTCAAGAAACATCTAAAAAACATGGCTTTATTTATTAGCTTAAAATTATTTGAAAATACTGAAAAACGCTAACAAAGTAAGTTACCTATAATCCAAAACCTATAAAATTCCATAACAAAGAAGACAAAGTCCTCTACATCAATCCTCTAACCCTTTCCTCTGAAATACCCTATGCTACACAGATTATTATATATATTCATAAATTTATTTTTATGAAAAGGAAATTGAACTATAATTTGCTTTTTCTTTTTAATTAATAATAGCTACTTTCCTGATCAGTACAAACAGATCTATTTCATGGGTTTAAATTGCTGCAAAGCATTTCATTAAATGAAGTCTCCATGATGTATATGATCATTTCTTTATCCTTGTAATATATCTTTCAGTACTTATTATGTCTGTGTGATTGGTAAAAATCACTGTGCCCCTTTACACTAGGGTGGTGGGCAAAGGTTTGGTAAACTTTGAGGTCATCAAAGCATTTTCTTAAAAAATATAACTTAGAAAATAGCCTACATCTGTTTTAGACTGTGTTCTTGATGAATAAAAGAACCAGAGAAAGAAAAGCAGTAGGAAACACACACACACACACACACAGATGTATAGACTGAGAAAGAGAAAGTGATTAGGACATGTGTTTATAATGAGAGAATATTAAGAAAATGAATGAGGAAGCTACTTATAAAATGATATTTTTAACTTCATAAGGTGAAGGTGTTTAAATTTCAAACTCTGAGTGCAAGCTAACCCTTACTTTTTTGGTGCTTTAAGGATTTAAGTTTGTTGACTTGTTCAGCAGTTTAAATTGCAAAGTGAAGTTAATGAAAAATGAAAAATCCCGAACAACCTTAGTTGGAAGTTAGCATTACAGCACAGCACTTTCAGAAAGGTATGTTGCAAGCCATTACTATATTCCTTTTGCTGTTACTAACTGGAGATAAGAACTGAGGAATAGGGGCACCTGGGTGGCTCAGTCAGTTGAGCGTCCGACTTCAGCTCAGGTCATGACCTCAGGGTCCGAGAGTTTGAGCCCCATGTCGGGCTCTGTGCTGACAGCTCAGAGCCTGGAGCCCACTTCGGATTCTGTGTCTCCCTCTCTCTCTCTGCCCCTCTGCCACTCGTGCTCTGTCTGTCTCTCTCAAAAACTAAATAAACATAAAAAAAAAATTTTTTTTAAAGAACTGAGGAATAAAGAGCCAGAAAGAAGGCCATCAGCAAACTTTAATAAACAGGGCAAATACAACAGTGAAGGTCTAGATAAATACACTTCTCTACCATTTTTATGCATTATTTCATGTTTAAGATTTTGCCTCTAGGCCAATGATTGTATTTTACCTTTGAGATCACTGCCATATAATAATGAAAATAGGGGAGCATGAACGTTGGAGTCTAAATAGATGTGGGCTCAAGTTCCAGCTTTAGACTTTCCTAGCTGAGTCATCTTGGGAAAGTTTTCAAACTTTTGGGTCTCAGTTTCCACTTCTAAAACAAAAATAACGATAGATGTTTTTGTTACTATGTGTCAAGAAATGCTGGTTAGGAGATGTAGATAATATACGTAGCAAATCATATTGAGAGCACTGCCTTTGCGTAAACGAAACATTTAGATACATACATTACTCCAAGCACTGGTTCCTGAAGTGTGGTTGTCAGATTAGCACACCCCCATTACCTTTGAACTTATTAGAAATGCAAATTCATGGCCCCCACGGTGACCTACTGAATTAGATGGTTTGAGATGGGGCCCAGGAAACTGTTTTACAAGCTGTCCAGTTGATTTTTATGCATGTTAAAGTGTAAGCACCACTGCCTCAGAGTTCAGCTAGATATGATTTTCATGTGATAATTTCCAGTAATGAACATGAAAGGATCCAGCAGTCATCTACACAGCTGACATCCATTAGGCACAGGAAGCACAGTGCCTGTGGCCTATGACACTTTCAAAGCCTTGTGAAAAATATTTTAATGTTCTTTTAAAATGAGAAGAATTAACATCATGATAACAAATATATAACAATTCAGCCCAGATTATCTCTTTAGACCAAAGCAGTTTTGGGGAAAAAAAAAAACTAACCTTAAACATTTTAATTGAAAATATAGTTTTGGGGTGCCTAAGTGGCTCAGTTGGTGGAGACTCTGACTCTTGATTTCTGCTCAGGTTATGATCTCATAATTCATGGGATCAAGACCCACATTGGGCTCTGTGCTATTAGCACAGGGCCTGCTTGGGACTCTCTCTCTCCCCCTATTTCTCTCAGCCCCTCCCCCCTCAAATAAATAAACTTAAAATTTTTTAAAAACATAGCTTCATATATAGTACTATAAACCTAGCTTAAAATTTTTTTAACGTGATTCTTGTGGAAGGGACCCACGAAAGCAAAAGTGCCAAGGGTCTAGGAAAGTCACTTGAAAACTTCACCGTCCATTTATAAATGTTGACGCTAAAGATATCTGGTAGGAACCATTACAAGAAATTTGTGTTATTCTAAGGATATATTTATTGACATTTAAAAAAAATATTAGTTTCAGCTTCACTTAATCAAGCCATGAAGCATGGTGGGATTATACAAGAGCAAAAATAAGACAATCAACAAGTTGAAAGTGAAGTGGAATATTATATTGTAGAAATTATGTTAAAAACAGAAACTTGCATCCTTATAAGAGAAAATTATACAAGACTTTCATTTCATTATATTCATTTTATCTGACACAAATGCACTTAGACCTTCAAAAACTATCAACTGGACATAATTTTCAGAACCTGCTACTGTCTTCTGAAACTTATATTTAGTCAAGGACTAACTATATGCTGTGCTTTTTTTAATGTTTATTTATTTTTGAAAGAGAGAGAGTGTGTGAGCAAATGAGGGGCAGAGAGAGAAGGTGACAGAGGATCCGAAGGAGCTCTGCACTGACAGCAAAGAGCCTGACTTGGGCTGCAACTCATGAACCGTAAGATCATAACTTGAGCCAAAATTGGAGGCTTAACCAACTGAGCTACTCAGGCACCCTTATGCTGTACTTTTAAGTATAGTGTTTAAAAGAACAAGATTGATAATTGTGTTTTCAAAGAAATATATGTATTTAAACTGGATTATTTTATTAATAATTATTAAGCTCTACCAGCATACAATATGAATCAGTTTATTCAAATACAGTTGAGCCTTGAACAAGTCAGGGGTCCTTGGTCCCAAGGCACCAATCCCTCATGCAATAGGAAATATGCATATAACTTTTAATTCCCCTAAAACTTATCTGTTGACCAAAGTCTTGCTGACAACATTATCAATTAACACATATTTTGTATGTTATATGTATTACATACAATATTCTTATAATAAAATAAGCCAGAGACAAGGAAATGTTATTTATAAATCATAAAGAAAAGAAAATACATTTACAGTTCTATGTATTGAAAAAATTCCATGCATAAGTGGAAGCATGCAATTCAAACCCATGTTGGTCAAGGGTCAACTATAGTTTTATATGAAGAATTTTAAATCTGGCTAAAATGGAGGATACAACTGTGATACAAAAGAAGATTTTGTAGCTAAATACAGAGAGGAAGCTTTGTTATTATGTATCTATTACCAACACAAGTCCTCCTTCAGTCAGTTCCTGGCCTTCTGGAAAGAGCTCACGTTGCTTCAGCATTGTAATCTTCAAACCCAGGCCCCAGGTTCACATCTGGATTGCTGATCCTTTTTAGGGCATTTATCATAGCTTTTTACCATAATGTTACTTTGGGCAAAGACATTTTCTGGACTTCTGAGAAGACTGAATTAGATGGTAACTAAGGAATCCAGGTTCTAGAATTCTACAATTCTGAATTTTCCTTGACAAAGATTATTTTAAATATGTTGTTTTATTCAGCAGATATGTATTAACCTACTGGTGCAAGTCCCTATTTAGACAAAAAAATGCATTGCAGATGGAGGATAAAACGTGTCCAAAGTCTTTAAAGTAGAAAAGAAGATGAAGCATTTGTGGAACTGAAAGAACAAAATGGCTGGAACTTAACCGAGAAGGTGAAAATGCTGTTAAAGATGAGGCTGGTGAGGTAGGTAGGGAGGGCCCAGTAGATCGATTAAGGATTTAGGAGTTTATCCTAAGAGCAACAGGAAACCTTTGAATGGTTTTAGTGGGAAGGCGCTTTGATCTGATTTTTTTATTTTTTAAGATCATTATAGCTTTTGTGTGAGAAATGGATTAGAGGGTGGGCAGAGAGACCATGGAATGGCCTTTTTGAAGCTGTTATTACAGTAGTATGGCTGAGCCACCCTGGCTAAGACTAGGATGGGCTCATTGGAATTGGAAAAAATGTGAATAGATTCAAGATATATTCAAGGACATGGGGTGCCTGGGTGGCTCAGTCGGTTAAGTGTCCAGCTCTTGGTTTCGGCTCAGGTCATGATCTCATGGTTTCGTGGGTTCAAGCCGCACATCAGGCTTCGTACTGGCAGTGCTGAGCCTGCTTGGGATTCTCTCTCTCTCCCTCTCTCTGTCCCTCCCCCCACTTGCACTGTCTGTCTCTCTCAAAATAAATAAACTTAAAAAAATAAGCTAGGGGCGCCTGGGTGGCACAGTCGGTTAAGCGTCCGACTTCAGCCAGGTCACGATCTCGCGGTCTGCGAGTTCGAGCCCCGCGTCAGGCTCTGGGCTGATGGCTCAGAGCCTGGAGCCTGTTTCCGATTCTGTGTCTCCCTCTCTCTCTGCCCCTCCCCCGTTCATGCTCTGTCTCTCTCTGTCCCAAAAATAAATAAACGTTGAAAAAAAAAAAAAAGCAAGTAAAAGATGATTCCTAGGTTTTTAGTTTGTGAAACTGGGTGGATGCCAATACTATGTACTGAGTAAAGAATCTCGGCAGAAGAGTAGCTTTGGAGAGGGTCTCATGCTCTTGGATCCTCCAAAAGATCCTGTCATCAGTCTCCACCCTGTTTTCCTCTGAATTCTGTTTGCATAGGCTGATTGTGTTGCCTTGCAGATATGGGTCCTTTGGTCAATACCACTGACCATTGTGATTGGAGATGGGATGTTTGCATTGTTGAGTATGGAAGACCAGGTTTAGAATTTAAACTTGGTACTGGATGACCAGACTAAGTAAGTAAAATGCTATTAGAAAAGAGAGGGCTTTAGAATTAGAATTAAAATTTTGGGTGGCAGATCTCTGCTTTGTTTTTCCTTTTTTCCCAAAATTTTCTTAATGGAATAATTAGAAAGATAAAGTAGCTTTTTTTTATCTACTGTAATTACACATCCATTCAAGCTTTAGTCTAACTTTTCTATTTATCTTTTATGCCAGAATTAAATTGTGTTAAATATGACAGGTTAGCTTACATCTTAATAGAATTTGCTAAATTTAAGCAATAAAGACATGCTAAACTTGTAATAAAAATTGATTGTATAACTCAGAGAATTGGTTTTGTAATTCTAACATTTTGTATTTCTACCATTCAAAAGCATTCTTAGTAACACCCCTGGGTATCATTCAAAATGTACATATAAAAAAAGGCTACATTTGTAAATATATTAAACATATACATATGTATATATGCATATATACTAAATATAGCTATATTTCAGGGACATATCCTCAATCTGACTTTTTCTAGGCCGGAATACCTTAAGAGTCACATGATACTATCAGTTTTTAATTGATAATGTTCACAAGGAGGAGTAGTGATTTCTGAAATATCTTTAACTGATCATTTCACTTGTAATTGCAGACTCATGGAATTAAACTGAAAGGAAATTTAGAGATTGTTTAATCTAGTGGTTTTCATAATGTGGTCCCCTAATCAGCAGCAGGTTGTAACACCTTGGGAACTTATTAAAAATGCAAATTTTCAGGTGCACTCCAGACCCGCTGAATCAGAAACTCTAGGGGTGGGGTAGAGCAACCTGTTTTAACAAGCCTTTCCAGGTGATTTTGATGCCACATTTTTAAAGTTGGAATTATGTGTTCCCATAGACATTAGCTGAAATTCGTAACACAAAACAATGGACTTTGTCTTAAAGATCCTACCTCAGGCTGCTCAAAAGACGTCTTTTATGTAACTCCACCTTGTTTCCCATTCCATGTATATTAGTTTTCTGCGGCTGCTGCAACAAAGGACCACTAATTTAGCAACTTAGCAAAAATTTATTATCTTACAGTTCTGTAAGGTCAGTGGTCCGGACGTTCTGTCTCACTGAGTTAAAATCAAGGTGTTGGCTTTGCTTTCTGGAAGCTCTAACAGAATCCATTTCCTTGCCTTTGCTGAAAGCTGGCTTCCAGAGGCCACCCACATTCCTTGACTTCCCACACCTTTTTCCATTTTCAAAGCCAGTATGCATCTATTTTTAAATGAGAGATTATTTTTTAAAACTGTATTTTGGAGTCTGTACAAATGAGTCCAGTCACCCACATCTGCCTGTTATTTACACACCTCAGTATTATACTGTCACTGGCCCAGACTATGTCATAGAGCATCACAACTGGATCATTCAACATCCTCAAGCAACAAATTATAATAAATTATACTCATTATGTTACTTACACTAAATCAGGAAAGGTTATTCATGTTAGGATAAGGTTTTCAAAGAAGTTTTAAAGGCAAAGATTTTCTGCCTATGCCTTGGCTAACAGGACAAACTAATTAGAGCAGTTCATTCCTCAAAGACTGCACTTTAATCATAGCTTTTCTGCATCAATTTAGTGGCTGTTGGACTTTCAATGATACATAGCAGAAATTTTCGTTTTTTAAAGAGGAATAATGAGGGATTTAAGAAAAATGTTCGCTTAGAGGACTACACACCTAAAAGAATTGAGTTTTGGTGGTGGAGCCAGGCATCACTTCCCTTTCCTGTATTCCAGATTTTCGTTAATGAATGCCTTACTTTTATAATTGTAAAAAGCCAAAGAAAGAAGGAAAAGAAAAAATAAACATGATATAATAACCTGCAATTAATTCTAAGACCTGATTTGTAAGGCAGGGTATGGGTTTTGAAGTCTCAGGCACGTATGACAGGATTTTTTTTTTTTTTTTTTGTACACTGTCATCCAAAATGTACTGTAGACTCTTCCTTGATAAATTATTTTGAAAGCTTCTTTTAAAAATGAAGACCACAAATCATTTTCTTAACATGTGGTTGCCCTACTTCACTCTACCTACGCTCTTCAGTTGACTATGGTTTCAATTCTAAGGCCTGGTCAAAGAAAGGAACTTCTAACATTTTCTTAGGCAACTGTGGTGCCACAGAACCCAAGCTCATCACCAGCCTGGCTTAGAAGCGCTCACACACCAGGTCTGCCATGGGGCCCTCGGCGGTCGAGACTTTTTTTGGACGAAACGCGTCCAGGCCGAGTCGGCGCCGCGCAGGGCCCGCTCCACCGAGAGCCACGGCGTCTGGAGCCTCAAGTCGGTGTTCCGTGCGGCGCCGCAGACCGTTCTGCCCGCGAGCCGAGCCCGGGCTCCTGAGGGGGAGCGGCGCTGGGGGCGGCGGCGTCGCGGTGGGGGCGGGAGCCGGGCGGCAGCTCCAGCGCCCGTGGGGGAGGAGCGGCAGCGGCGGCGGCTGGAGCTGCTGTGGCGACGGACGCGAGGCGGTGGCAGAGGAGACCCACCCCTGTCCACATGGACAGTCGCAAAGGCCTCCGCTGATGCATTCACGCCTGGGCGGGGTGGGCGGACGGCCGTAGCGGCGGCGGCGGCGGCAGAGGGAGCGAAGGGCCTGGGGGCGCCTGACGGTCGCCGAGACCTCGCCGCCCCGGCGCGGCGGCTGCGGCCATTTTACGGCCCGGGACGAAGGGAGGTGTGTTTGTGTGCTCGCCTTCAGCCTCTCTTCCTGGGTCCCGCGGCTGGGGAAAGCGTCTCAGGCGGCCTGGGTAGGCGGTGGATGGGGAGTCGTGGGCCGAGAGGAACCGGGCCCGGGAAGCGCCGTCGCCGTCGCCGCCGCTCGCGTTCCCCCGGAGGGGCCTGAGGAGAAGTCCAGGCCGCGGGCCTTGCCACCCGCCAGCCCGCGGATAGGCCCGGGAGCGCCTGGCCTGCTTTTGTGTAGGCCCATCTGGCCGTGGGAGCGCCGCCCCCCTGACGGCTGAGTTCTAGGCCCGCAACCCTGCGGCGGCTACCCTCCTGCGGCGCGGCCCCTCATCCCGGCAAGCGCGGCGGTGGTGTGGGCCATGGATTAAGAAGGAGGCGGCGTGGGAGGAGGAAGATGGCGGCTGGCAAGAGCGGCGGCAGCGCAGGGGAGATTACTTTTCTGGAAGGTACACCTATTTCTGCCCTTGCAGGGGGTAGGGTGGGGGAAATACAGGGAAGTGTGGCCCTCCTGGTCTCCGGATATTCAGTTATTCGCACAGGGTGGGTTTGGGGGCGGCAGAGGTACTGGGGGGGGCGGGAGCTGCCCGGGCGATGGCTGGGAGGGAATATGCTGCGAGCGCGCTGGGTTCGAGTCCGCCGGTGCGAGGAGCTAGGCTGGGGGCGGACATGGCCGAGAGGGCGCGGGTGGATACCGCTGCGAGCTGGAGTTGGTGGGTGTCCCTTGAGAGTGCACGCGTTAAGTCTTTGACATTTTAAATTTTTTGGTGGTGGCCTAAAGAGGAGAGCGGATGGCAGTCTCATCTTGTTTGGTGTTGATGGAAAGTTTCAGATTGCTAAGGTTGGGTGAAATTGGGGGCCAATCCTAAGTAGGGAGGGGAGAGGTAGTTTTACTTGGGTATGTTTCATGTACGCTCTCTGCTCTTTCTGTTTCGCAGAGCTTCGGGCTTCCTTTTGCATCCAGTATTAGATTAAGTCTGGCCATGTCTGATGTTCTTACGAAATGTTTTGCTAAAGATATTTTATAACATAATTTATCTGAAAATATAGAACGAGATTCACAATGTCAATTTGGGGACGGTCACCAAAGCTAATAGACAAAGTTTGGGTGGTTCCATTTTTATTCACTTGTGAGGGAAAGCCAAACATTTGTTGTTGGTGGACTAAGTCTTAAGAAAAGCTGCATGTTATTGTTGGGAATGGTGGTAATGGGTTACAATATTGGTTCCTTGCCCATATAAATACGGACTCTCAAATACTGATAAATCCGTTGTGACTGTGGACCAGGAACTTGAGTGTTTGCATTGCTCAATTTGAGTATGGGTTCAGTGTTTATCCCAAATTAAATATAAATTGTTTATAATATAAACATGTTTAGAAAAATGAGCTTACTGTGCAGTGATTGTTAAAAAGGATTAGCTGGATACTTTCACAAAGTTGATTTTCATATACAAGATAAGCAATCTTTAAAAAAAATAACTGATCAGAAACATTTCTCAATTAAAATATATCTTAACTGTGGTGTAGGTATTCTGTAAGAGGGTGTAGAGGGATAGGTATTGCCTTGTTTATGGTTTTATTAACAGCACCTGGAACAGTGCCTGGACTACAGTAGGTCCTCAATATTACTCTGAACAAATAGGGCCTAATAG